TGCTTGCGGCCACGGTGGCTGGGGGGGGGAACCTTGGAGGGCTGGTGGCTAGCTGCAGCCGTTGCTGCTGTTGTGGGGGGGGGAATCCTAGCGAGCCCAACGGACCGCCTGCTGGGCTCACCTGCAGCCGCTGCCGCGTCCTCCTCTGTGCGGAGCTCCTGCAGCTTCAGCAGGTGGGCCACCCGGGAGCCGCGGGGAATACCTCCCCCCCCACGAGTATCGTGGGTCCCGCCTCTTGTACAAACACAAATACAAACAATTGGCCTCCCCCCCCTGCTCCTAATTTATACGGAGTATTTTCCATTGTTTAATTGTTATAAGTCGTTACAGGAGCCCTTGGGGGCTGAGCATTAGTGCGGTCAGTGTTCCTTCTAAGCTGAGCTCATGTGAGCTAGCTCACAGGTTTTTAGCCTCCAGCTCACACATTTTTGTCTTAGCTCAGGGAAGATGGCTCCAGAGCAAACTAATTTATGCAGAAGCCAAACCACTCACTCACAACTTAAATGCCGGTAGCTCTCAAAGCAGAATTTTTGCCCACAAGACTCCACAGCTTAGAGGGAACATTGAGTGCGGTATAGGTAAAAACGCCGCCAGTACTTTGTAATATCTGTAATGCATTATTTTAATTGTCGTGTTTTAATTCTGTACTATTTATGCTTTTATCTTGTATTGTTGGAAACCGCCCTGAGCCTGCTTTGCGGGGAGGGCGGGGTATAAACTTGATTATAAATAAATAAATACATAAAAATAAATACATAAATCGAAACAATTGGTCTCCTCTGCTCCCCAACAATGCGGAGGTTGCCCGAGGTACCCCGGAACTTACTTCTGGCACTCATCCAGCACAAAGGCTCGAGGATGGTCATCCCCGGACATAGTGATGACTGTGTCTCTTTCAAAAGCTCCGGGGCGGGTCTGATTCACAGTGTGCCGGGTGATGGTGGACGTGGTGTAGCTCGTCCAGTACAAAGTATCCCAGCCTCGGTGGTAGGCCAGCCCCTCGACTGAGCCAACATCTGTTGAGAGGAGAGAGGGGTGAGACTTCCAATGAAACCCTCATTTCCATATAGACCCGTAGCAACTGGTAAAAGGTAAAGGTAAAGGTTCCCTTGCTCGAAAGCCAGTCGAGTCCGACTCTAGGGTTGCAGTGCTCATCTCCGTTTCAAAGCCGAAGAGCCAGCGCTGTCCGAAGACGTTTCCGTGGTCATGTGGCCGGCATGACTAAACACCAAGGCGCACGGAATGCTGTTACCTTCCCACCGAAGTGGTACCTATTTATCTACTTGCAATTTCTTGCTTTCGAGCTGCTAGGTTGGCAGGAGCTGGAACTAGAGATGGGAGCTCACTCCGTCACTCCCTCCACCACGCTCTACAGGTTACCAGTATCACAGTTACACATGGACTAAAATTAATTCGACTGATGGGCTCTCTTTGGTCCCACCCTTGCAATAGCCCTCTCTGTAATAGGAAGCAGAAACAGGTTGGATGTTATTAGTTCTTGCCCATGCTTTGATTCTGCAGCTTGCTTGTTTTTCTCCCTGTGTTTGCTCTCGCTCTATAACACTCTACTGCTTTCCTGATCCTGATTATCTGATACAAAGACCTTCCAAAGTCTAGCCTTTAGCGCTGCTTAAATAACCAGAAAATTTTATCTTAGACTGTACCCCTTCAGATTCCCTGTACCTAGAAATACAGCATGTGAGGAATAAAGTTCAAGACCAACGAAGTGTTATTCAAGGTATGAGCTTTCGTGTGCACACACAATTCCCCAAATAAATTGAAACGGAAGTTAACAGTCCAAACATATAGGCAGAGGGGGGACAGCAATTCAGCATACAACATAATGAAAATGTTTTAACAGATGAAAAGTCCAAACAGGGATAACAAGCTAAGTTTATTTGGATTTAATTATTTGGGTGGGTGGGGGGGAGAAACACAGTGAGTGAGGCGGCGGAGGAGACACAGTGAAGCAAATAAATAGGTCAAATTGGAGACTAATGTGTAAATGTATCCTTCTTAATTGCGGGATGCTAAGAGGAATTACGTTCCGTGCACCTTGGCGTTTAGTCATGCCAGCCACCTGACCACGGAAACATCTTCGGACAGCGCTGGCTCTTCGGCTTGGAAACGGAGATGAGCACCACAACCCTAGAGTCAGATTTGACTGGCTTTTGAGCAAGGGAACCTTTACCTTTACTTTAAGAGGAATTAACTGAGATCCTGTTGTTACACTCCATTCGTCTACTCTTAAGCACAGAGGTAACTAACAGCTTCCTATTCTTTGGGGTGGGGTGGATGGCTGTGCAGTGTTATGTCTCCACTGTCATCAGATCGGAGAAATCAGCACGAGGAAGAAGACTGGACAGAACAATCCTCCCTCTCATTTTCGTGTTCTGCAAGCAGGTAGGTTTTTTTTAATGCTTCACGTATGTACCTTAAAGTGGTACAGTCCATGAATGCCTTCACTGCCTGATTTTGCAGACTGGCCGCTCCTTGCCTGTCGTACTCGTATTGCCCTCATCCAGAACTGGCTAAAGCTTCTCTGACTCACATCCCGATAAGCTTTCCAGCTTCACCCCCAACTTTTTGCCTGCTGTTCTTTTGGGGATTCAACAAAACCTCTTGCACTGAAGAACACACCTCATATATATATTACAGGGCTCTTTTTGTAGAAAACGCCCAGCAGGAACTCATTAGCATAATAGGCTACACCCAACAGCAAAACCCATTAGCATATCAGGCCACACCCTGACCGCACCACTCATTAGCACATTAGGCCACACACCCATGTTACCAGAAGTGTGGTCATCCAGCCACACCCACCTTTCCCTTCTTATTCTGCTTACCTTGTTTGTTGTCAAAACCCAGGGCTTTTTTTGTAGCAGGAACTCCTTTGCATGTTAGGCCACACACCCCTAATGTAGCCAATCCGAATGAGTTCCTGCTGTTGGGTGTGGCCTATTATGCTAATGAGTTCCTGCTGGGCGTGGCCAACTCAGGAGCCAGCTGGAACTCCATTCCTGCCCCAAAATAG